TCTGGAGGAAAGAGAAGAGACAGAGCACCATGCTGAGCTCACAAGGGAGTTGATTTATTTCCAAAATGATATAACTGGCACAACCAACTCAGAGGAAGAACAGAACTGCACTGAGAGCATCAGTGATCAATTATTTATTATTAAAAGAAAATAGAGAAGCTGGCCTCCAGTGAATAGCTACATATCGTATCCTCTTGGAGGAACAGTAACAGGAGTTCTGGCAGATAGCAGAGAGGATTACAGAACTCAGGTAACAGTCAAAGGAACGTCATCTAATAGAATAGTTACATGAAGTTTAGAAGAATGTGTGGAAAGGTCACCTTGATATTTGAACTAAGATTTCTAGAACTGAAATGAATTACAATGTATTTTGTCTCACAGACAAGTCTGCATGTAATGCATACTCTGCTTATCTTCTGTGCAACTGGCGGTAGGCAGAGTTGGAGGCAACAGGAGTGCACCTGATAATACAGGGTCTTGAGGTTACATTGATCCAACAGCTTCAGAAGAGGATTTACCACCCAGTGTTAAATGGCCATGGGACAGGGCAGTGCACAGTGGCACTGTGCACTGTTATGAGGCTGAGAGTAGCGATATTAAGGAGAAAGAGAAGATTGTTTGTGCCGTGGTCTGCATAACTTCCTTCAGTGTTAAAGACTGTTACTTCCAGTTATGCGTACATTCACCTGGGCATGGGGAACCTTTAGAAGCTGGGCTTGGCACCCTGGTGCTTTGCAAGTGAAGTGCTTACTGAACAGCCCATTAGTTACTCCTTCCTGACCAGAGGACTGCTGGACTTAGGAGTGTATCTGGAGTGGAGCTTGCCCAGGTGGGCATAAATCTGTGAGCTGGTCCTGTTAATATTGATGCTCTGCTATGCAATGCACGTGGAAGGCAACAGAGACACCTCAATTTTCTTTGCATCTTCCTGTTTTGGCTTCTTCTGGAATGTTTGTATTAGATCTCTTCTTTTGGTCTTTCTTTCCCTTTGAACAGAGATTAGATCTTCAATACTTGCAGTAGATGAGACTAATGCTGTTTTATACACCTTGTGTACAATAGGAGGATGCATAAGGGGTTCAGACAGTTTGTGCTGGAATTATAGTAATGGCCTTTCTAAACATTATCATATAAAAATTTTACCAAAGTGCTTTTGTGGTGTAGAAGAAAATCCAGCGAAGTCATGAAGGCAGCTGAGACTCATCACCAGCTGATCAAGAAGTGCCTTTAAAAACTGTCAGCATGAAAATTCACCTCCAGCACCTCCCCAGTGAGAAAAGCGTGCTACTTGTTTTTCCTCTTGTCATGGTTTTGGGTTTTTTTAATTTGATTTTCAATATTCCACATCAAAACATCATGTACTGGAATTAAAGTGTTAATGCTCTAATTTTACGTACCTATCCCTATACATTACGGAAGTCATGGGATCTGACCCTTCCAGGTGGGGCGGTCTCTTACTGCCTGGCTCCTTTCCTCCCATCCCCTACTGCTCCTCACCAGTTCTCTTCTGTGCTTTAGGCTATAGCAGTGACTGGAAAGGTCATGTTAATTTTTACTACTGTGAGGATGTGAGATAGTCACTAACTGGAAGAAAAAATATGGTCTTTATTACTTGTGCTGTCAGATTAGCTGCAAGAAGTGTCTGATCTTTAAGCTATTGTGTGATAGAGTTTGTAAATTGGTAGAGATCTGAACACTGAGTGAATAGGTCACTGAGTGTAGTTCTAAAACCTGCTGTCACGTTGGATTTACAGAACGTAACGACTTCTGCTAATAAACAAGCTCATATGATAGCTGTTCTTGTTTTTCACAATGAAACCCTTTCCAGAGGACACTCCAACAGTGGAATACATTTTCAGAAGCCTTTTGTAAAAATTTAGTCTGCTAATTTTCAGGATTATTTTAAATGTCATCTACCAGAAAAATTTTACTGATTGCATTTTCTTTTCATTTACAGACATTATGCACTCAATATTGTGTTTTCCTGATTGTCTCGGCTTTGAGAGCTCAGCCTGATACTGTGAATTTTTATGCAATTATTTTCATTTTTGCATATTTGTTTCCCAATGGACAGCATTTACCATACTTCTTGACTAGTGTCCTTTGACATTTAACTTGGCTGATAAGCTAGCAAAATTTTAGGTGTAAAGTGTCCCTTCCTCCCTCCACCAAGATATCTTATGGACTCCATGTGTAGGCAGTCCTGTCAGCCTTCTCTCAAGGTATCTAGGTACAGAAGGTAGTTTAATTGATACTAAAATCTGCTGAACAGATGAGCCTTCTGAGGGCATGTCCTGAACTGGTTCCTCTTCTGATATGTTGCCTGACTTCCTTCACAGGCAGCACTATGCTGTGCTTGCTCCTTCAATCTCCTTGGTAGACTTACCCAGGACAGGTTAGGGCCTTGGTGTGGAAGATGGCAAAGTGCATGTCCTTGGCAGCCTATGCTTATATTCTTTTTGGGCTTTGCTATCATGAGTGTCAGGTGGGGCTCAGTGTGGTTAGGGGCCTCCATAAGCAAGAAGTCTTCTAGTGTTCCTAAAACTTACAATATGAGTGTAAATAATGCAGCAAATAATACAGCAGAATGCAAAACTGCATCTATCTGTCCTCTCTGCCGATTTGGTGAAAATCAGACCTCCACCCAAAGACAGATTTTTTGTTTTTTTCTTTTCTCTGAAAGATGCATTGTGTTCCAAAACCTGCAAAGTGACAGCTTCTGAAAATATCTTTGGATACCACTGCTTCATAGCAAACAACTATCTGTTTTTTTCCCAGCTTATGTTGTTGCATAAGAAAGTCAGAGGAATTATCCCTAAGCAGAAATTATGCACATTTGGTACTCAATAGCAAGAGATTCTATCCTCTTAATGTGTTATATGCAATTCTGGCTTATTCTACCTGCAAGACTTGTGCAGGTAGCTAGACTTCAAAATTTTGTGGAAATTGCATGGTGTGTTCTGTGTTTTGTTTCGTAAGAAGATCAAGCAGGAGAAATATTAGAGAATTAATGAAAGAAAACTGCTCTGCAGTGTAAGATGATTGCGAATGTGGTATAGGGGATGCATACATTTGAAAAGTAAAAAGAGAAAAATACTGTTGTCCTACTATTGAAGTTCCTTATTAAGGTGCATTAAATGTGAACTAATGATGTATTTCTGGAAAAATGCTATCTTGGATAAAGCAAAACAAAGAACTGAATATCATCTGAATCGAAGAACAGAAAAAATGTTGCATAAATTTGATTTTATCTTATTCCCAGTGAAACATTCCAGCTTTCCATTTCTAAACTGAATTCTAAGATGAAATTAAGTAGAAAAATAGAACAAAACATTTATGTACTCTGTGAATAAAATGTGATTTCAGCCCCTTATAGTATGTACTCCTTTCTTTCATTTTGTCAATCAAAATGAGTTTTTCCCTTGTTTTACATGTATGGCTTACTTTCTGAACTGAGAATATAGTTATTTCTTGTGTTATTCCTCTTGCTGAGTTTCAGGCATAGGACTGGAAACGAAGCATGGGGAAGTGAATGGCTTGGAAAAGAAAATAGGAGAGTTTTATCCTCAAATTAAATAGTAGATTGTATTTTGTGTGACTGACCTGGAATAAAACATAATTTAACTCCTGTGAGTTTTCAGCTGGATTATGGGTGAGTTTTAAATAATATGTTACTAAGCTTTAGGATGTAATCGCACATCTAAAAATAGGATTGGATTATTAAGATTAATGTAATCTTTGTAGCTTTTGTTATTATTTGGAATGCAAGACATTCATTCTTCAGTATTAGAACAGATGAGATTTTCATATGCATCTCTAGGAAAAAACATTGTTAAAAGAATAATTCAAGCATTTGTTAAACTCAAGCAGACTGCATTTAGAAAGTGAATATATACATCCCAACAGCTCCATAATGCAAAGGATAAATCTTTTTCGTTAAAATTGGTCTATCAGGAAAGCTTTCTAACTCAGTTGTTATGTATATTTACTAGAAACCTATGTGTATTTCTACTGACTGTTCATGTTCAGCTCACTGCACAACCTATGGGCCACATGATACGTTTTGTTTATGCTGATCAGCAGCATCCTTGCTGCACAAGCTTGCTTTGTGGCTGTTCCAAAAAAGGGAATTATTACTGTTTATCCTTAACTATGACAGTAGCATAGCATGATTGAAAACCAGAATGTATCAGTTATTCTTTGGATGATTTGTACGTGACAAGGAAGTTTTGTTTTTTTTCCCCCTTGGTGTTATACTTGTGAATTTCTTAAGCCCCAGACAGAGCTTTGAACATTTTTTTGTCTTGTCACTGACATTCACTGAAGAAAAATATCAGTTACTGACATCAATTACAATTATGTAGTTTCCAGTTGTACAAAGGACATTATTTTTACTGCTACAGAATTTTACTTGACTGTCTGGTTTATGTGAATGTATACGTAGATGTGGTGCTGTGCTTGTGTGTTGTGTAACCTTGCAGTTTTGAAAACCAAACTTTTGCTTCCTTAATGTGTTAGAAGTACTTTTGAAGTCTTAGTAGTAAATCCTGTCTGTTTCAAATCTGCTACCAAAATTATAGTGGTACATGAGTCATAAATTCTTATTTCACCGCTTTGTCTCCATCCTTAGAATAAAGTAGCTTTCTAGCTTAAGTTTAGTAGAGCAGTGTAATTTCAAACAAGCTTTTAAGCAGTCTGTATGGGAAATCATACAACTAAGGATGATATTAATTTATTAGAAGCCTCCAAGCCATGCTCTGGGGAAATCAGGGAGGGAACGGTCTTAGCACAGCTTTTGATAAAATAAAGGCAGTGTGTTCAAATCAGAAATGCTAGCCTTGTAGCGCTAAGAGTAAAGACATGTCTGACTGTCTCTTCACAGACTGCTTGTAGGTATGTGAAGCACAAAGCAATGGGCACACAGGCATAAATACTATAGCATCCATCTGTACTGACTTATACATCTGTAACTGACTGAATTTGCCATTGCTGTCTTTCAGAAATACCGACAGTATATGTCTGGACTTCTTACTCCTCCTTATGGTGTTATGGAAACTGGCTCCAACAATGACAGTAAGTATGAGAAACTAGAAATCGAATGTTAAGGAAATTAGAGGGAAGAACAACATCCTCTGGTTTGTGATGTGAGAATTTAAATGATAAGTTCAATTCAGGTATTTAACAGATATTCCTGTTCTGCATAGGAGAAAGTAGTTTAGAACTTTCTTGATTGCATCCTTAATTGTATACAGCTGCATACAGAACTGTGCACAAATCTGTACACTGATTGTATTATGTCACATAGCATTTAAGTAGTTGTAGATGCTACATAAATTCTGTGGAATGCAACTATGAGTCCTGCTAGTAAAATAAATTTTACAGACTGGCTGACTTATTATTCTCTAGTTATGGTATGCTACACAACTTCTTTGATAACGTGGGTTAGTATTTGGACATAGAGCCTGCAGCAGGCACGCTGCTCTCTGACCCTAGTTATACAGGTAAATAAGTTTCAGTATGGTTTTGCCTTGTGAGAATCTGTCAGACTGTGGGATAATGATTTAAACATGAATCCAAGGGCAGCCTTTGGAATGTACCACTTCTGTAATTCAAGGTACTTACACTGAATTGCCAGAGGATTACTTAGATGCCAACCAGGATGATATTTGATGGCCTATACTTGCATCAGTGAATTTTGGGCAATATGTTTTGTGATCAGTATATTGTACAATGCACGGTGTAGCATAACTGTCCTAGATAGTATAAACACAGTGCTCCATTTGACTTCGAGATATTAAAACACAAATAACATTAAATGAAAAAATATAACTAATTCCTGTATATGTACTTCAAATATAAGTTGTACAATTTCTAGCAACCTTATACTCAGGAGCTAACTTTTTGTCTTTTTTTCTTCTAATGGAAGAATTTTGCCTGAATAAATGTTTTGGTTTTTTTAATCTAAAAATCGTAGATGAATATTTACGTTATCAAAGTTTTGAAGATGTCAAATTCCTTATTAATAAATGTCTTTTGTTACATAAAGAATATGCAGTATTTATTTATTGTGTTCTTTTTTTCAGGAATGCCAGATAAAGATAGTATGTCAAGTGGTGCTCTTTGCCAAGTTTCTAAAAACTGTAATAAGGTAAACAGCTCTTATTTTTGCCTTTGGATTTTGATGGGAGGCTTTTGGTAATGGCATTGAATTGAAAAGATCAGGGTAAAAATGCAAAGCATGGTGGCTGACACATGTGATTACAATACACAACTTATAAGGATGTTTTAGATGTATTGTAAAACTGGAGAAAGCAAAGGGAACATCTGTGAAAGTTTGTGTCACATTCTGATTATCATCTCCCTGTAAAGAAGGTAGGTGGTGAAGGCAAGGAAGAAAGATATCTTGGTGATAAGACCAGAGCATAGCCAACTGATCATAAAATTCATAGTTAAGTTCTCTTTTAAGGCTATACTGAGTCTAACTGATGCGTGGACACAGTTCTAGCTCTTTGCACAGGGTGAATCGTCTACTGTGTTCAGAGTGCTTCTGTATTTCCCAGTTCCCCTTTATAAACAGTTCTGTACCTTTGGTCTCACCAGATCAGGATTCCCATGAAAAAACTTGAGAATATTACTATGCTGGCATTCTGTAATTATAGTAGTGGGAAGAAATAGTGTTGGACATTGCTGTGAAGGTTCTAAACTTTTAGGGTTTATTTTTTAGAGAGAGTAGGAAGGTTATTGGAATACACAGTTCCTTGGATGCCTCCTTTCTGGATAAAGGAGCTTAATTGGATGCATTTGTGTAATGTCTATAAAAGGTAAAAGGATTTTTTGTTATATAAAACGCGTCTCTTGACAGCAGATAAAGACAATATTTTAACGTGTTTCCCTCATGTGAAAATAACTACTTCCACCTCTATGTCTGTCCTGCTTCCTTGAGGGTACTGACCTTTCTTAATTGTCACATTTAGCCTTTAATAAATGTATAAATGAAACAGTATGCAGTTCCTTTTGCTTGTCTTATTCATTAATGTCGTACCACTTCCTGACACAACTTTACCCTTTATGAAAATAAATATTCTTCCATGCTTTAAGTAATAATTCATAGATACTTCTGTATCTCTTACTCTGTAAGCATCTTACGAAGATTTGAAATGCCAGTGTTGTAGAGGAGCACTTGCAATGCTGTACATGGGAGTTAAGACCCCTCAACAAAAGCATCAAGTGTAGTATCCAAACTGAAAGATGCGTTATTTTCTGAAGCAGGTAGAACTAAGAAGTTAAATACATCCTGGTCCTTCCTAGGTGGTATTCCCCCAGTAATGGGCAGTAATACTTGGCTAAGGAGCATATGCACTTTCAGGTTCAGAATATTTTAGAAACCGAGCAAAGTATTGTGATTGCTACTGCTGCTGATAGCTGTGCTTTGCTAGCAGAAGTGGACTCTTCATGTACAAAGTAATGTTCAATTGTGTTGGAGACAGAACTTGACTGGGGCACCTTAAATTGTTCAATCACTTTTACAGGAATAAGGTCCTTAGCAAACTTAGCTTCTCTTCCAAGACACAAAACAGCCATCCTTCTCCCTCCCACGCTCTGTAGACATTTCAGTGGAGAGAGTAAATATTTGGCAGATGCTTGTCACCTTGTTTCAGCCTGGAGGAGCTCAGACAGTCCCATGACAAATGTAGCAGTACCTACACAGCATAGAAATAGTTCATGAATCCTAGATCTGTGTTTTTGCCATATGTCCATAGTTCTCTCTAATTCTGTTAAATGAAAAGTAAGTACAACAGAAGTAAATACTTCAGTATTTTATTTACTGCAAGCAAGCTTCTTTCCTGCAACTTTAAAATAGTACAACTGCTACAGCATTACACATGTTGATGATTGTGTCCTGCTGTCAGTTTTGAATGATCAGAGAAAAACTGTGATTGCAGGGCTAAATTCCCAGAAGTGTTGCCAGCTATTTGAAATACAAAGCAACAGGCTACCAGAACACAGTCTGTGTTTGTATGTTTCATATTTTGTACATTCCACTGTGATACGTGGCTACAGAAATTGCTAATGCATCAGGGACAGGCATTCAGTAAGGGAAATTAGAGTGTTTGCAGAATATCTTTGAATTACTTTATCTTATTATTGCTGGAATGATGCTTGTAGGACTGGCAGTCAAGGGTTAGGCCTGCAAGCTGCTCCATAATGGCCTGACAGACTAAGCAAAGGACTTTCTGAAATTCAGAGAAAGTTTCTCAAAGTCTTTCATGTGGCAAGAAGACATTACATGCTTAGAAGGAGATAACATCATTTCTTCAGTAGTTCTAATCCTAATGATACATTTATACCTGTTTCTCTGGTTTAGTTTTGCAGGGAAATTAATAACTATAAATAATTTAATTCAAATAAAATCAAATACATTCCACTCTTGATATAGAAAAATGCATGTTTTTCTGTTTTAGCTTGTGCTGAGCCATTTTCAAGGGCTATAATAGCTTATTTTCCATGTTTGCTAATTATTTGGGTTTCATCTTCATAGCTTAATTTTTTTCTCTTATCACATCTCTTATTTTTTGATGAGTAACGCAAGATTTTTCTTTTAATGTATGCCTTGAAATTTTCTCACCATATGGGCATGTTTGCTTTTCCTAGTTCATTAAAATCTATTAAAAAGAATTCTGCTTGGAGAAGACAGCAAAGACATTTTCTAACACCAAACAAGAATTAATTTGCATTTAGGATTACATTATTGAGCATCAGTTAATACAATGTAGCAGTTAAATTGAGCATAAAAAATACTGAATATGTTACACTCTCCGGTTTCATTTTGAGAAATGGAAACAAAATCAAATTTAAGCCATCTTAAATAAGGAAAAATAACACCGCATCTATCTTTTTAACTAGTCAGTCTGATAGCAGTGCAATGGTCTCACTAGCTCCAGTTTTTGAACCTTCTGATGAAATAGATCGGGATGTAACTGGATCTGCTAGGTGATTATAACCATAAAGCCAAAATGACAAAATCAATAATAATTTCAAATACATTTTTTGAAAAGATACAGAAGAATACTTAAAAGACAGGGGAGGTCGGGGTTCCAGTGAGCATATGGAATAGGTAGTGGGTCTGTCTCCATATATTACCAGCAGAGCTGGCAGCAGGGTTGCATGGTGGTTCCCACAACAAGATCTTGTTTTTACAATTTGGCCGGTTTCTCACTGCTTAGGCTGAATTTTTCATGCTGAGAGTTTGCTCTGGCTGATTTTTAAGTGGAAATATATCAAACCTCTCTGACATTGAGGCTGGGGGGAAATGCATACTGCAGGTTAAATAGTTTTTCCCAATCTTATCCTATCGACTAGGAGCTTGACATTTAGGGCTCGTTTTGACAGGAAGGAGTGCCATTGGTGACTCTACAAAATAAGCCATCTTATTATGCCTTGAAAAACATCTTTTGAAACAGACTAATTAGGGGCACATAAAAGTTTTTGCATGCAGGCTGTGTGCCTTGCATGCAGAATTCCCAAACTAGGCCTTGGTCCTGCACTGCTTGGGAATTACTGTGTCCATGATGAAAAGTATGTTTTTCGTTGCAGTGGCTGGTTCTAGTTGCTAGAGTAACATTTTGAGTTGCAACCAGAGACTGTAACCGAGAATTATCTTTGTCTCCCCTGTATTTTTACACCCTCTACTGGTGCCCAACTGGGAAAGGAGTAGGGAAATAGCCCATTCTTCTCTGGAGACATGAGATATATGATGGTCTTAAAGTAGAAAATAGCATGTCAGAGAACAGAGCTGTACACACACAGGAATGAATGTGGGTAAGAAGAGAGGACAGTCCAACTGAGAGCATGAATCTTCTCTCTACTGTGGTGCTTGGTGCTGAGTGTGTTTTTCTGCTGTCACAAAATGTCTTAAACTCCTTTGTATACTCAGCCCAAGAGATGATGGGAACAATCCGCAAGAAGGATAGAACTCTGTGATTAATGATAATTATTCTATTTAATCAAGTAGTTGATAGTCAGAAAGTTCTAACTGGGGTAATACTCCCAGTTGAAGTTTTATGTTCTTTTCTCTGTAGAGCAGTTTGCTAAAAGAGCCCCCAAATTCTCAAGAAATGATGCCAAAAACAAAGAAAAAGCCTAACAACAAAAAAAGTCTGCATGAAAAGGAGGCTGAAAACTCAAGTGCTTGAAAGCAGAGCTTCAAGAGTGAAGGTTGACTGAGCAGTGTTAATGAAGTCCTCTTATCCGTGTTTGTTATGGTGCAGACTTAATTTCTTCATGTTTATTATGGTACAGACTTTGATTACCTACTCATATACATTTTTCTTGTGGCACACTCAATTAAAACAACATCTCACCTCAAAAAATCATGCCAGTTTTCTTTTTTATACAACTTAATCTCTACGATTGCTTTGGATAAATAAATAACCTTCAGAAATTTGTATCCTTTGTATTAAAGCCTACATTCGTAAAGAAGGAAAGCGCTTCTTCATATCCTGAAGAAGGCATACTAAACACATAAGATGTAAGGAGATTAATTGTATGAATTAGCACAACTTAGTTTTGATCTCAGGTGAGGAATATATATATATTTTTTTTCTGAATTTTCTTATGTTTTGTTGCTGTTACCTTCTCTGTGTTGTTTTTACGTTTCTGTTGTAATAAAGAGCTGCAGGAGCTCCCTCTAGTGCATGAAGTAATATTCAGACACAATATTCAAGACACAAACTAAGTCTGTTAAATGTACAGGTTGAAAAGTCTCCTTTGTGTTTTTGATGTAATTGCTTGAAATCCTTTAGACTGGAAGCTTATTGAAAGTGATTTCTTTGAAGATATTTTGTACAGCAAACCTTATTTCTGTAGGATGTGCAGAAACTCATCTGAAAGTTACCTTTTTACCCATCTTCTTCCCTGATTAGTTTTGACATCAGAAAATGTAGATCAGTTTTCCTTACTGAACTTTCAATAAGGCTTAGATGCCATACTGATTGGTATGCATTTAAATAATTGGAATGATTGTGAAAATATAATTTGCTATTTTATCAACTCTAACTGCATTTTATAAAAGCATACTTAGGAGATCTTTCAGCTGACAGAGAAGGACATACTCTAAGTGTTAATTCCCAAAATACTGATGTTTTCAAC